CTTCCCCCTTGACCGAATAAACGAATAAGTGATTTAGCTTCTAGGCATGCGCAAATCTATTTACACATAGTTGATTAACATCAAACTATAAAGTTTAAGGGCTGACAAAGGAGAAACAGATATAAGACATCTCTGTATTTATTAGTTATGACAAGTTTTATATATAAAGTCTTCCTTCCTCCTGCACAAACTTCCAATTTTTTCATGACTTCCTTTTTCATCTTGTGCCGCGTCCAATAATAGGACCTTAGGAGAAGGATTGACACTTTCCTTTATTTTTATTTTTATTAAGTATTAAGTATTTGTGTTTTTTCCATATATAATTTTTTATACATGTGTTATGATCCCCCCTCCCCTCCTGCACAAACTTCTTTTTTTCATTTACATCGTTTTTCCATTCTTGTGCCAAGCCAGTTTATTAGGCTCTCTAAAGGAGGAACTGGGGAAGTTTTCGTATTTACATAACTATATTAAAAATACATTTTTTTCATATATATATATATCCCCCCTCCCCTCCTGCACAAACTTCCTTTTTTCATTTACATCGTTTTTCCATTCTTGTGCCAAGCCAGTTTATTAGGCTCTCTAAAGGAGGAACTGGGGAAGTTTTCTTTATTACATAATTTCTCCACTTTTATTTGGCCAATTGTAGAAATAATAATTTTTTTTTATATATATATATATAAATGTGTTATGATTCCCCCCCCCCCCTCCTGCACAAACTTCCTTTTTTCATTTACATCGTTTTTCCATTCTTGTGCCAAGCCAGTTTATTAGGCTCTAAAGGAGGAACTGGGGAAGTTTCCATTATTACATTACTACATTTTTATTTGGCCAATGGTAAGAAATTTATTTATTTTTCCATATATATATACAAGTATTTTGCCCCCCCCCCTCCCCTCCTGCACAAAATTTCCTTTTTTTCATTTACATCGTTTTTCCATCTTTGTGCAAAGCCATCATTTTATGGCTCTTTATAGGAGGAACTGGGGTAGTACTTATAATGCACAAATATACCACTGGGTTATCTCTTCTTTTTTATTGCATTTTACCGTTTTACTGGAGAACTAAGAAATGGATGTCATATATTTGGAGTTACAGTCTAAGCATCCTCTATCATATGGAGACACACAGAGGTCTTTTGAATTTCATGATAAGAAACCTTCTAAAGAAATGAAGAATAGAATAAAGCCCCCCCAGCCACAGCAGAAACCCAGATTTGTTAATCTTTTCCTCCTTTCTGCATGGGCACCTCACCAGCTCTCACATTGAATGGAGGAATGTGGGATATACGATAAGCCAAGCCTTTGTCTTTACAGGTATATGTATTTTCAATATCAACAATGAAAAATTTGGAAATTATATGAATAGAAACATGCCCCTTTATTTTTCCATAGATACAACTGATAGAGAACAAAAATATGGAATGTCAACATCCCTTTTATGTTTACACATATACAGAGTACAGATATAGAGATAACAGTATATTGAATGTAAACATTCCCTCTGTTTACACATTTACAGAGTATAGAGATGACGTTTTTTGTTATAGCACCTAGAGTCTCAAAACAATATGAATAAATACGGTCTCTTGACCCATGAAAAATATGATAGACATAGTATTCATACCTTGACATAGAATCTGAACATGGAATAGACCCTACTTGAGTACCAAGGTCTCCCATAAACACAAAAAAATAATAAATGGAAATTCGGAACCAGGGATAATATGCTTCCTTTATGGGTAGCATTCAAAAATAACAATATCAACTGCATATATACAAAAGATGGAGTAACAGGGCAACAGATGTGGAGCAGACCCTCACCCCAAGCCGGTGACCTGGTTGATTGACAGGTAACTACCAGGGGACCCAGGTCAGGTATACAAGGGCTGCCCCATGAGAGTTGCAGGATAATCATGATAGGTTTAAGATATGCATGGTTTTACTGCATGTTTTTTAGACATAAACTCATCTATGTATATTTAACATATTCTGTAATTACAGGACCCTTGGAATACAAGAGGGAAGAGCCTCCTCAGTTGGTTACAAGGAAGTCTTCCTCCCTCAAGGACCTGAATCCCAGACGGTTTTGTTGTTTTTCCCATATACCAATTGCTTCTACTTGTACATTTTGTAAAAACAGATGATGTAGATACTCGTAGTTTTGACATTTATGCTTCTAGCCTTTGAACCTTGTATCTATAACATCTCCTAGCATCAACATAGAAGAGACCAGAGACAACAGGAGCAGGAAGGACCCCCAGTTCCCATACAGCAACGACCCCCAAACCCCCCCTGTTGAGGTTCCACCCCCTGATATATACCGCCTGTCTCTCCCCTCTTTCATTAACCTTCTTCTTTGCTTCAGGACCACCTCTCCTCAGGAACAGCAGTTGCGACAGGGCCTCCCAGAACCAACCTACCTCCCCTGCCCTGACCAAGTGTAGCCCTCTCAGAGGGCTCCTGCTGGTTCCTCCTTTCTCTCCCCATACAGGAACTCCAGGAGGGAAGGGACCCCTAGCTGTTGTCGGTGGGAACAGGCGTCTTCCTTTCCGAGTTCCTTGTGTTTGAATTTTTGTAGTTTTTATTGTGTTTTTGTATGATACTCTGTTTCCAGAAATAAAATAATTCTAGAAGTCGCCTCACAGAACAAACTGCAGCAATATCTGTATATATTAAAACTTCTTTTTCCACAGAACGATGAGATGGAAGGATTACATAGGTCCCCAAACTACCCCAAGAGTACAGAGGCTCCTCCCCTCCCCACAGGTGACCATTCAGGGACCAGATGGAAGATGAGGGCCGCCCCCAAGGAGAACTCAGCTCAGGGATTGGAGGACGAACAAGAAAAGGAACACAGATTTTTATGTACACACCTTTATTCCTTATGTATATAATGTATGAGTTTTGAATAAAGTTTCAGTACCCCCACGCACCTGATGAGGCCCTGTAGGCCGAAAGCGCTCGTGCTGCTGGGTTACTGAGTAGTGTATTGTGAATTTGTGTTTAATTCCTTCCTTTTGGACTTTCTATTATACGAGTGATCAGTGACAAACAGTGAAAAAATAGTGACAAACAGTGAAAAAACAGTGAAAAAACAGTGACATACAGTGAAAAACAGTGAAATTACAGTGACATATACAGTGTACAGCAGAACATACCAAGACCCAGCAAGGAAGCCCAGAGGACCATCCTACAGCAGCAGCTCACGGTTAGCCCCAAAGTTCCCTTTACAAAGGAACCTTGGGTTTTGTTTTGTTGTAGCTTAACAACCTCTGAGTTTTTTCATGTAGGCTGTCCTGTATAGGTTTGGTATTTTTCCTGTTGCCTGTATACCCTTTTTCTCTGACTGTTGTACTGACTCACCTCCACTTTCCATTTTTTCCATTTTTCTGGTGATTGGTTTCACCTCTTTCCTGTGTATTTATACGCAGTGCCAGTGTATCACAAGGTTTTCAGTGTTCGTTTCAGTGTATCACAGTGGTTACATTTTTATAATACATAGTGCCAGTGTATCACAGTGGTTACAGCGTTGTAACACAGTGTCAGTACTTCACAGTGTACAGTGTTTTAGCACATAAGTGTCAGTGTTGTACAGTGATTACAGTGTTTTAGCACATAGGTGTCAGTGTTTCACAGTGTATACAGTGTCTGTACACATAAGTGTCAGTGTTCCACAGTGTTTACAGTGTTCACAAGGTGTACAGTGTTTGAAAAGATAGAAGTGTTGATTCAAGGAAGCTTTCACGGGTGAAGTGTCAACAGTTTTCACAGATAATATACACACAGTTGAGTTGTTTTAAAAAAAGCATACTTTTTCAGTGAAGGTTTTTTTGCTGACTGGTTGTTTTGTTCCCCCCCCCCCCTTTTATCGCTGTGCTTGATGTAACCCACAAGACTCTGATTAAAAGACACCTGAGTTGAGTCCTTTGGTTTCTTGCCCAGCTGTATTCCAGCTGGAAAGGACGTACTGGGTTACAACAAACACAGGGATTGGTAGTTTAGCCTTTCTTGGGTGAATAAAACATTCTGAACCGAAAGGTCCTGACCTAACCTGGCCTAGCCCCAAGGTAATCAGACGCCTAGTCCTTTTTTCACATGCCTAGCTGGATCTCAGCTAGAAAGGACGTTCAGACGGACCAGTAAGATTACAACAAAATGGTTAACACCAGGAAACAGATCAGGGAGGGAGAGGTTCAGCACCCAGAGGAAGCTAGACAAGGAGAGATTCTGAGTGATCTCAGTACCCCAGTCAGTGAATTGCATGGAATAGTAGCGAACAAAGAGGTAGACAAAATAAAATTACCATTCCCATGGAAAGACCCAGACAACCCATTAGCTCTAAGGGGAGGATGGGCCCACCCCTATGCTTGGACGAAAGGTAGCCCTGCTATTGAAAGGTCCCCCTTGGCTCCACTCCTCTTAGGAGTGGAAGGACCTGTTATATATAGAGAGGACCCCTTCCCAGATAGATATGAGGAATCCCATGACAGATCCCCCCTAAAGGACCCCCTGTGTAGAAAAGAATTCCATAATTTGACTAAGCTATATTCCATAGAGGCTATGTCATTAGCGAGAGTAGAATACTGTGACAAATGTGAAACAGCAGGTGTTGCTGAAGATTATGAAGTTACAGTGGCCAAATACTCAACCCCTTCAGGAGTCCTCCCCCCCAGATGGGTAGTTGAAATGGGCGAATTGATTTGGCTAAGTGCAGCAAAAAAATGGCAAGGGTTAATGGCAGCTCACCTTAGGGCAGAGGCCATTGAAACAAGGAAAAGGATCATAACAATTAAGCATGAACTAAAAGAAAAATTTCCAAATGAGTATAGAGTTATATGCCATGAGGCATGGGAAAAAGGAAACTTGTCAGCCCTGAAAATTAAAAAAACAAACACCCCCAAACCTCCCTCACCTCTACCTGAAAAGTAATGGCCTACCTATGTGGGAATACATTTGTGAGCATGTAGATGGAAGCATAACCCCGAAGAAGAGGAGATGGTTGAGGCTTGCATGAACAATGACCTAGTGACAGATGGGATAGTACTGAAAAGAAATAGGAAAACCCAAACAGACCCTGTGGAAAATGGGAATTCTTCAGGAAGCTTGGATGACTCCACTTCAACGGCAGACAACACAAAGGAGCCAGTAGCTTCAACAAGCTCAGAGGGACCCCAGCCACAAGAGAGGACAGTCATACTTCTCTCTCCCCCCCAAGAGGAGTCGCTAGACACCCAGTCTGAGGAGGACCAAGGAGCACCAGAATGTGAAGAGATACAAACCCCCCCACAAGAAGAGAGGAATCCCATAGCTGCACAGAGGCATGAGGCATCTTCTCCAACCCAAGAAGAGGAAGAGGAAGACCCCACAAGTTCCACTCCTCTCCCCACCCCCCCTCCCCCTGCTCTCAAGAGGTGCACCTCCCTCCCACACAAAAAAGAGTCTATCCCTCTCCGCTGGTAAAGCTAAATGAATGCAGTGATATGTTGATCAAAGTGGTGCAATCCCTGGACAGAATTGAAAAGGCTTTCAGGGAAGCCCCCTTCCCCCTCCACCTCCCACCCAGCCCCCCCTCCCCCCTTGATGGAACCCAGCTCAAGCAGGCAGAGACCACAAGGAACCCCACACCCAAACACATTGCAAGGCCTGCAAGCAATGGCAAGGACGAAGAAAAAAGAAAAGGCAAACAAAAGAAAAGAAAAACAAACAAGAATAGCCAGACAAGAAGATGAAACCTGGGACAACAGGCAAGCCGATAGACCCAGGAGAACGAGATACAGAGCAAGGACGCAAAGAAACAGAGGTCCCACCCCCCAATATGTAGAGCAGGCTCAACCCCCCAGAAGGAACAATGGAGAGGATTTTTTCCCACCCCCAAGGCCACAGAGGGAAAGATTCAGACAAAGAGAAACTCCAACGATCCACAGGGGACAAGAAGCATATCGATACCAGGACACAACTTGGCAAAGGAACCACAGAACCTGGCAAGAACCCCAAAGGAGAAGACCCCCCTCCCCCACACCCGTACCCAAGGAGTACATACAGAAACAACATGTGGCCAACAGAGGAGCGACAACATACCCCCAGGAACCCCCAATGGAACTGGCAACCACAGAGAAACCAGGGACATTGGCAACCCAGGAGGGAACAGAGACAGTGGCACCCCAGGACCCAGAGGAACTGGCACCCCAGAGACACCCACAGAGGATGGCATCAACAAAGACAAGAAAACACCCCATGGGCCCAAGGAACAGCAGGAGAAAGGCAGTGGCCAGAAGAAACGAGAGGTTACTGGGGATGGAACTAATTGTCACTGAAGTCAACCTCACAAAGGACCAACTTTCCCTCTTACACAAAGGTAGATCCTTTGTCCCAGGCCCCCCAAGGAAGAGTATACAGTTAGAAGCACTGTCCTCTTCCCTAGGCAAGCTGGAGGATGACGCCAACAGGAACTTCACAGAAGCTCTCCTCCCAGGACAAAAGATTCTCCCAACAAGAGAGAAGAGGAAATGGCCCCCACAACTCCCAGCAATCCCAAAAAAAAAAGAATCCCCTAGGAAAATGCCGGGATTACATGAAAAAAGTGACAGAACACATGCAAAAGCTAGAAAAAGAGATCCACACACAGAAAAGACCAAATCTATCAAAAAAAGAAAGAGCAGCATTGGATCTCCTGAAAAAAGATGCAAACATAGTGATCAAGAAAGCTGACAAGGATGGAGCGTTGGTGGTGCTAAAAACTGAGAGCTACATCAAGATGGGAAACCAACATTTAAGAGACAAGGAAACATATGAAACAGTAGGAAACCCAGAAGAAGCTCTCCAAGCTGTTACCAGAGAGAGCAAATTACTGGTCAACAGGTTCCATACATTGGATAACATAAAAGAAAAAGTCAGGAGCTTCACAGCAGGACAAAGGGACGCTCTACTGCAACACAAGGCCAGCATCCCGCACTGGTATGTCCTCCCCAAAACGCATAAAGCCATAGATGAGGACACAGGCACCTGGCCTGGAAGACCAGTTTTGAGCGGCTGCAGTGCACCCACCAGACCAGTAGATAGACTGCTTACCACCTTCCTGACCCCCCTTTTAGAACTACTGCCAGAAAGACTCCAGGACACATCGGATTTTCTGAGGAAAATGAAAGATAGCCCTCGTTTTCCGAAAGATTCCATAATCTTCTCCTTTGACATTGTCTCACTCTACCCATCCATCCCCCAAGAAGAGGCAGCATGGGTAGTTGCAAACTTCTATGAGAAGAATTATGGGTATGTTCAAGGACGTCTGGCAGCAGATTTTAACATAACACCCCCACCTCCATACCTGATCAAAGAAGGGATAGATCATGTACTAAGAGGAACTCTGCTAAGATTTGATAACAAATTCTATAGACAGTGTAAGGGCACAGCAATTGGAGCCTCAGTTTCAGTGGCACTTGCAGAGATTTTCGTGCATGTCAGCATAGAAAAGAAGAGGAAGAAACTAAGGAAACAGCCAGAGATCTTCTACAGATATATAGACGATATTTTTGGGATCTTCACAGGAACAGAGGAAGAGTTGCAACAATACCACAAAGAGCTGAATGAACTCCACCCAGATTTGAAATTCACGTTGGAATGGAGTAAAGAAAAGCTCCCCTTCTTGGATACCATGGTGTATTGGGACACAGAAATGCGCCCACAGACATCCACCTTTTACAAGCCCTCCAACACACATCAATATCTCCATTTTCTGTCCAGCCACCACCCCAGTTTGAAGAAATCCCTCCCCTTCTCACAGGGCATCAGGATCAAGAGGATTATCAGTGAAAGAAAAAACCTCGACAAAGCCCTGCAAGAAATGGTAAATTTCTTCAGTAAAAGGGGTTACAGCAGACAGATATTGATGAAAGCACTGGAGAGGTTAGAAGGTATCCCAAGAGAAACACTGTTGCACAACGACACGGCAAGGAACATGGAAAGGTCCATCATACCCATGGTATACTCCCAGACCCTGGCCACCCCCATCAGGCAATCCATAAATGAAATTTGGGAGTGGTTGAAAGAAGATTCGAAAGGCAAACCTTGGGAGAACAGATTCAAAGGGCCCCCCCTATGATTGCATGGATGAAGGACAAGTCCATTGAAAATATCATAATTAGAGCTCAGTTCCCTTCCCCCTTGACCGAATAAACGAATAAGTGATTTAGCTTCTAGGCATGCGCAAATCTATTTACACATAGTTGATTAACATCAAACTATAAAGTTTAAGGGCTGACAAAGGAGAAACAGATATAAGACATCTCTGTATTTATTAGTTATGACAAGTTTTATATATAAAGTCTTCCTTCCTCCTGCACAAACTTCCAATTTTTTCATGACTTCCTTTTTCATCTTGTGCCGCGTCCAATAATAGGACCTTAGGAGAAGGATTGACACTTTCCTTTATTTTTATTTTTATTAAGTATTAAGTATTTGTGTTTTTTCCATATATAATTTTTATACATGTGTTATGATCCCCCCTCCCCTCCTGCACAAACTTCTTTTTTTCATTTACATCGTTTTTCCATTCTTGTGCCAAGCCAGTTTATTAGGCTCTCTAAAGGAGGAACTGGGGAAGTTTTCGTATTTACATAACTCTATTAAAAATACATTTTTTTCATATATATATATATCCCCCCTCCCCTCCTGCACAAACTTCCTTTTTTCATTTACATCGTTTTTCCATTCTTGTGCCAAGCCAGTTTATTAGGCTCTCTAAAGGAGGAACTGGGGAAGTTTTCTTTATTACATAATTTCTCCACTTTTATTTGGCCAATTGTAGAAATAATAATTTTTTTTTATATATATATATATATAATAATGTGTATGATTCCCCCCCCCCCTCCTGCACAAACTTCCTTTTTTCATTTACATCGTTTTTCCATTCTTGTGCCAAGCCAGTTTATTAGGCTCTAAAGGAGGAACTGGGGAAGTTTCCATTATACATTACTACATTTTTATTTGGCCAATGGTAAGAAATTTATTTATTTTTCCATATATATATACAAGTATTTTGCCCCCCCCCTCCCCTCCTGCACAAAATTTCCTTTTTTTCATTTACATCGTTTTTCCATCTTTGTGCAAAGCCATCTTTTTATGGCTCTTTATAGGAGGAACTGGGGTAGTACTTATAATGCACAAATATACCACTGGGTTATCTCTTCTTTTTTATTGCATTTTACCGTTTTACTGGAGAACTAAGAAATGGATGTCATATATTTGGAGTTACAGTCTAAGCATCCTCTATCATATGGAGACACACAGAGGTCTTTTGAATTTCATGATAAGAAACCTTCTAAAGAAATGAAGAATAGAATAAAGCCCCCCCAGCCACAGCAGAAACCCAGATTTGTTAATCTTTTCCTCCTTTCTGCATGGGCACCTCACCAGCTCTCACATTGAATGGAGGAATGTGGGATATACGATAAGCCAAGCCTTTGTCTTTACAGGTATATGTATTTTCAATATCAACAATGAAAAATTTGGAAATTATATGAATAGAAACATGCCCCTTTATTTTTCCATAGATACAACTGATAGAGAACAAAAATATGGAATGTCAACATCCCTTTTATGTTTACACATATACAGAGTACAGATATAGAGATAACAGTATATTGAATGTAAACATTCCCTCTGTTTACACATTTACAGAGTATAGAGATGACGTTTTTTGTTATAGCACCTAGAGTCTCAAAACAATATGAATAAATACGGTCTCTTGACCCATGAAAAATATGATAGACATAGTATTCATACCTTGACATAGATTCTGAACATGGAATAGACCCTACTTGAGTACCAAGGTCTCCCATAAACACAAAAAAATAATAAATGGAAATTCGGAACCAGGGATAATATGCTTCCTTTATGGGTAGCATTCAAAAATAACAATATCAACTGCATATATACAAAAGATGGAGTAACAGGGCAACAGATGTGGAGCAGACCCTCACCCCAAGCCGGTGACCTGGTTGATTGACAGGTAACTACCAGGGGACCCAGGTCAGGTATACAAGGGCTGCCCCATGAGAGTTGCAGGATAATCATGATAGGTTTAAGATATGCATGGTTTTACTGCATGTTTTTTAGACATAAACTCATCTATGTATATTTAACATATTCTGTAATTACAGGACCCTTGGAATACAAGAGGGAAGAGCCTCCTCAGTTGGTTACAAGGAAGTCTTCCTCCCCAAGGACCTGAATCCCAGACGGTTTTGTTTTTCCCATATACCAATTGCTTCTACTTGTACATTTTGTATAAAACAGATGATGTAGATACTCGTAGTTTTGACATTTATGCTTCTAGCCTTTGAACCTTGTATCTATAACATCTCCTAGCATCAACATAGAAGAGACCAGAGACAACAGGAGCAGGAAGGACCCCCAGTTCCCATCAGCAACGACCCCCAAACCCCCCCTGTTGAGGTTCCACCCCCTGATATATACCGCCTGTCTCTCCCCTCTTTCATTAACCTTCTTCTTTGCTTCAGGACCACCTCTCCTCAGGAACAGCAGTTGCGACAGGGCCTCCCAGAACCAACCTACCTCCCCTGCCCTGACCAAGTGTAGCCCTCTCAGAGGGCTCCTGCTGGTTCCTCCTTTCTCTCCCCATACAGGAACTCCAGGAGGGAAGGGACCCCTAGCTGTTGTCGGTGGGAACAGGCGTCTTCCTTTCCGAGTTCCTTGTGTTTGAATTTTTGTAGTTTTTATTGTGTTTTTGTATGATACTCTGTTTCCAGAAATAAAATAATTCTAGAAGTCGCCTCACAGAACAAACGGCAGCAATATCTGTATATATTAAAACTTCTTTTTCCACAGAACGATGAGATGGAAGGATTACATAGGTCCCCAAACTACCCCAAGAGTACAGAGGCTCCTCCCCTCCCCACAGGTGACCATTCAGGGACCAGATGGAAGATGAGGGCCGCCCCCAAGGAGAACTCAGCTCAGGGATTGGAGGACGAAGAAGAAAAGGAACACAGATTTTTATGTACACACCTTTATTCCTTATGTATATAATGTATGAGTTTTGAATAAAGTTTCAGTACCCCCACGCACCTGATGAGGCCCTGTAGGCCGAAAGCGCTCGTGCTGCTGGGTTACTGAGTAGTGTATTGTGAATTTGTGTTTAATTCCTTCCTTTTGGACTTTCTATTATACGAGTGATCAGTGACAAACAGTGAAAAATAGTGACAAACAGTGAAAAAACAGTGAAAAAACAGTGACATACAGTGAAAAACAGTGAAATTACAGTGACATATACAGTGTACAGCAGAACATACCAAGACCCAGCAAGGAAGCCCAGAGGACCATCCTACAGCAGCAGCTCACGGTTAGCCCCAAAGTTCCCTTTACAAAGGAACCTTGGGTTTTGTTTTGTTGTAGCTTAACAACCTCTGAGTTTTTTCATGTAGGCTGTCCTGTATAGGTTTGGTATTTTTCCTGTTGCCTGTATACCCTTTTTCTCTGACTGTTGTACTGACTCACCTCCACTTTTCCTTTTTTTTCCTTTTTTCTGGTGATTGGTTTCACCTCTTCCTGTGTATTTATACGTAGTGCCAGTGTATCACAAGGTTTTCAGTGTTCGTTTCAGTGTATCACAGTGGTTACATTTTTATAATACATAGTGCCAGTGTATCACAGTGGTTACAGCGTTGTAACACAGTGTCAGTACTTCACAGTGTACAGTGTTTTAGCACATAAGTGTCAGTGTTGTACAGTGATTACAGTGTTTTAGCACATAGGTGTCAGTGTTTCACAGTGTATACAGTGTCTGTACTCATAAGTGTCAGTGTTCCACAGTGTTTACAGTGTTCACAAGGTGTACAGTGTTTGAAAAGATAGAAGTGTTGATTCAAGGAAGCTTTCACGGGTGAAGTGTCAACAGTTTTCACAGATAATATACACACAGTTGAGTTGTTTTAAAAAAAGCATACTTTTTCAGTGAAGGTTTTTTTTGCTGACTGGTTGTTTCGTTCCCCCCCCCCCCTTTTATCGCTGTGCTTGATGTAACCCACAAGACTCTGATTAAAAGACACCTGAGTTGAGTCCTTTGGTTTCTTGCCCAGCTGTATTCCAGCTGGAAAGGACGTACTGGGTTACAACAAACACAGGGATTGGCAGTTTAGCCTTTCTTGGGTGAATAAAACATTCTGAACCGAAAGGTCCTGACCTAACCTGGCCTAGCCCCAAGGTAATCAGACGCCTAGTCCTTTTTTCACATGCCTAGCTGGATCTCAGCTAGAAAGGACGTTCAGACGGACCAGTAAGATTACAACAAAATGGTTAACACCAGGAAACAGATCAGGGAGGGAGAGGTTCAGCACCCAGAGGAAGCTAGACAAGGAGAGATTCTGAGTGATCTCAGTACCCCAGTCAGTGAATTGCATGGAATAGTAGCGAACAAAGAGGTAGACAAAATAAAATTACCATTCCCATGGAAAGACCCAGACAACCCATTAGCTCTAAGGGGAGGATGGGCCCACCCCTATGCTTGGACGAAAGGTAGCCCTGCTATTGAAAGGTCCCCCTTGGCTCCACTCCTCTTAGGAGTGGAAGGACCTGTTATATATAGAGAGGACCCCTTCCCAGATAGATATGAGGAATCCCATGACAGATCCCCCCTAAAGGACCCCCTGTGTAGAAAAGAATTCCATAATTTGACTAAGCTATATTCCATAGAGGCTATGTCATTAGCGAGAGTAGAATACTGTGACAAATGTGAAACAGCAGGTGTTGCTGAAGATTATGAAGTTACAGTGGCCAAATACTCAACCCCTTCAGGAGTCCTCCCCCCCAGATGGGTAGTTGAAATGGGCGAATTGATTTGGCTAAGTGCAGCAAAAAAATGGCAAGGGTTAATGGCAGCTCACCTTAGGGCAGAGGCCATTGAAACAAGGAAAAGGATCATAACAATTAAGCATGAACTAAAAGAAAAATTTCCAAATGAGTATAGAGTTATATGCCATGAGGCATGGGAAAAAGGAAACTTGTCAGCCCTGAAAATTAAAAAACAAACACCCCCAAACCTCCCTCACCTCTACCTGAAAAGTAATGGCCTACCTATGTGGG